GTTCAGGTCCTGGACCTGGCGGCTTGCTTTCTCACTTTCCTTCTCTAGCTTTCTCATATTCTGTCTCTCTGGTCAAATTAAAATAAATAAATAAAATAATTCTTTAAAAAAATTTTTAAAAAATGGTGTTGTGAAAACTGGATATCCCCATTCAGGAGAATAAAATTAGACCCTTATTTCACACTATGTATAAAACAATCAACTCAAAATGGACTAAAGATTTTTACATATAAAACTACAAGAAAACAGAGGAAAAAAAATCTTCTTGTAATTGGTCTTGGCAATGGTTTTGTGGATATGACTTTAAAAGCACAAGGAACAAAAGCAAAAATAGAGAAGCGAGAAAGTATCAAACTAAAGAGTTTCTGCACAGCAGAGGAAACAACTGAGTGAAGAGATGACCTGCAGAATGAGTGAAAATATTCAGAAACCAGACATCTTATATGGGTTAACATCCAAAATATTTTGATAACTCCATAGGAGAAAAAACAACCCATTTAAAAATGTCAAAAGACTTATAAATGGCCAACATGTGTATGAAAACATGTTCAACTTCACTAGTCATCTGGGAAATGTCAATCGAAACCAAAACAAGAATCACCGAACATCTGTTAGAAGGGCCATTATCAGAAAGAAAAGAGATAGCAAGTGCTGGAGATGGTGTGAAGAAAAGAGAACACTTGTAAACTGTTTGTGGGAATGTAAACTGAAGGAAAAAATCAGAACTAGAACTGTATGTGATCCAGCAATCCCACTACTGGGTACATATTATCTCCAAAGAAAATAAAATCAGTCTTTTTCTTTCTTTCTTTTGGCCACAGGGTGCATGCACTGCCTGAGAGAGACAATAAGAGGGAAAGTGAAAAATCACCCCACTAGGGGGTATGGCCATGCTGCAATCCCTTCTTCTCCACTCTCATCCTGGGGTCTTGGGCACACATGCACAGGCACCTGGCATAATTTTTAAGCTACCAGGTCTGGGACTCAGAATATGGTCAGCCATGAGAGAGTTGACCAACTTTTATTGGTGCCAATAAAATTAGTATCTTCAAGAGATGTCTGCAATCTCATGTTTGCTACAGCATTATTCACAATAACCAATATATGGAAACAATCTAAGTATTCACTGGAGGATGAACTGGTAAAGAAAATACGTTTGTTTATTTAATTTGTCAGAGGGTGCAAGTGCTCACTGCAGAGAAAGATACAGAAAGAGAGAGAAAATAAGAGAGAAAGTGAGACAGTGCCCCTAACCGCCTTGGGATAAGGCCCTACTGCAATCCATTCTTCTCCATTTCTTATATATATATATGTATATAGATATATATATATATACATACATGCCTAGCATGTTTTTAAAGCCGCTGGGCCTGGGACTTGGGTCTGCAGTTAGTTGGCCATGTGGGATTGAATTACCTTCACCACTGCACCACAGGCAGGCCCAGAAAATGTGGCATATTTTTACAATGAAATATTACTGAGCCTTAAAAAAGGAAATCTGTCACTTACATATGGAATCTGAAAGAGTAGAACTCATAGAAGCACAGAATAAAACATTAGTTGCCAGGGGCTGGGGGATGAAGGAAACAGTGAGACACCGGTCAAAGGGTATAAAGTTTCAGTTATGCAGAATGATTAAATTTTGAAGACCTAACGTACAACATGGTGACTTGGCTAGTAATACCGTATTATACACCTGAAATTTGCTAAGAAAGTAGATCTTGGGACCTGCAGGTGACGTAATGCTTACATGCTGGACTCCCACATAGTTGATCATGGTTTGAATTCTGAACCCAGAGGCTTAAAACTCACGCCAGGTATACATGCGTGCATGCCCAAAATCCCAAGAGGAGAGAGGAGAATGGAGGAGAAGGGACTGCGGTGTGGCCATCCCCCCTGGGGGAGATTTCTCGCTTTCTATCTCTCTGGTGAGCACGTGTGCTCTGTAGCAAATCTCTCTCTCTCTCTCTCTCTCTCTCTATATATATATATATATATACACACACACACACACACACACACACACACATATATTTTTAAAGTACATTTTAAATGTTCTTATTACAAGACAAAAGATAAGCATGTGAGGCGACAGAAATGCTAAATAGTTTTATTAGTAATTTCATAATGTGTACATATATCAAACTTTCATACATATATTAAAAATATCACATTGCACATCTTAAATATATAGAATTTTTTTAATCATAGAGAGTGTATGTGAAAGAGAGAGAGAGAGAAAGAGAGAAGAAGAGAGAAAGTATTCTCCAATGGGGCCTGGGCACCTGACAATTCTTTTATCTTCCTATTTTCCATCTTGTCAGGATTCTGGAAAAGAGTGCATGCATGTGTGTGGTGTGAGAGCAAATCCTGGCAAAATGACTTCCTCTGTGCTGCACTATGGAGCCAGCCCAATTATACACATTTTTTTACATGTCAGCTATACCTTAATAAACAAACAAAGGGAGAAACCAGTTTTAAACTAGTCTTCAGTACACTAGTTTTTGTCTTGTTTTTAGGTTTCTACCACAGGGTGCTTGCACTTGCCAGAGACAGGGAAAGTGACATATCACCACCACCACCCCAGGAGGGGATGGCCAGCTGCCATCCCTCTCATCAATTCTTTCAGGATTTTGGGCACGCACACACACACACACACACACACACACAGTGTGATTTTCAAGTCACTGGATTTGGGACTCGAACTGTGGTCAGCCATATCTGAGTCCAATGCTTTAAACTACTATGACCCCTGCTGGCCCCAGTAAATTAGTCTGAATAATTAATTCTTAACATCTTTATTTATTCCAGTTTTATTATTCTATTTTATTTTTCATCCTTCTATTATCACATATGGTAGTTCTTGACCTTAGTGCAACTATCAATTGGAAGATGAGTTGCAAGTCATTTATTATCAATAAAATAGAAAGTGTTTACTCCTTTATAAATGCTAGGCCTTCTTTTTACAGTGCTGTCACTAACTTGCATTCAAATGTTTTCTTGAGTAGAAAAGAGAGTAGAATTACAGCAAATAAAAAGATACACCCAAATCTCAGTGGCACAGATATTAAAATTAGAGTCTCAGCTTAACCACCATAAATGTTGTGATCATGAGCACCTTATTAAATTTTTTTAAGCCTTCATTTCTTCATCTGTAAAACAGAAATAGTTCTACCTAATACATGAAATAATAAAAGTAAAGATCCTTGTATTATACCTGACAGTAGCAGATACTTGATAGCTAACCACTATTATCACCAATAAATACAAGTTCAACACCATCTCAAAGAGAGACCCATAGTCTATACTATGAACAGGTAAATAACTAAAGTAAACATTACAAAAGTTTTTTGTACTCACTTAACAGTAACTTTGAAAGAATTAACATTTATTTAAAATATTTCATATATAAATATGAGAATTCAAAATGAAAATACAACCTTTTAAACTACATACCATTTTTTAAGGAGTTTGTAGTTTGTGTACGGTATAGAGTATAGGTGAAAGTGGATTATTAAAAAAGCTTTTACTTGCTAGTTTAAAAGTAACATACCAACTTCTAGAAATTAAAAACTTGGGTTCTAATAAAAGTAACATTCTAGTAAGAATAAAGCAGTATGTAAAAATACAATAAAATGTTATATCAACATACTGGAATTAAGACAGACTTGTCTCTTTTCTAGAAAGTCTTCATGCTGCTATGCTAGTGCTTCTGTAACAAAAAGATACAAGTGAAAAAATAAAACCAGCAACTTACCTATCAATGCCAGTATCCAATTTCATTTCCATTTGTTCAATTATTTCCTTTTTCTTCTGAAGGCATTCTGATAACTTAGGAGAAGAGCTTTTTGCATATTTAAAAAGGGGAAAAAAACACATTTAAGAGCCTTATAATTTCTAAGTTTTTCATTGTATATGTGTAATACATTACATAAACTTATAAATACATACATACACATATATTAATATAATTTGCTCATAATTCCAAGAAGCATATAAAAAGTAATTATATAGCATTCATTATACCTAATTTATTATAACAATTATACTAGGAACAACGAACCCATTAGAAGAAAATGGCCTAAATTTGTTATTCTGATCTATAAGGACATACCTTAAGAATACTAGGGTACTTTAAAAATTACAGGAAAATTCAATTAAAATATGAGTGTATTTTCGGTGCAGTAACATTTAAAAACTCCTGCACAGTTTTTTCATAATACTATTTTACATTAACTTTATTTAAAGATTCTTATATAAATGTGATTTTCAAATTTTGTCATAAAGTTTCCTTCATAACAAAATATCTAATATAACTGTAAGAAAAGCCACAGGGTTGTCACCAGTCTAAGAATATAGCAAATCGAGGCCAGTAGGTGGTGTGGTGGTGAAGGTGCTAGTTTCCACATAGCCAACTCCACAGGTTTGAGTCTGCACCTGATGGCCTGAAAAACATGTGCCCAAAATCCTGATAGAAGACAGGAGGAGAAGAGACTGCGGCTTGGCCATCCTCCCTAGGAGGGGATTTCTCACTTTCCCTCTCTATCACTTTCTCTGTCTCTCTTGAATGAGCACACACACCCTATAGCAAAAATCTAAACAGCAAAAATACAGTAAATCAGGACCAGCAGTTGGCGTAATGGCTATGTCACTGGATTCCCACATGGCCGATGCGGTTCAAGTCCTGGACCCAGTGGCTTAAACTCACACCAGGCACGTGTGTGTGCATGCTCAAAATCCTGAGAGGAGAATAGAAGAGAAGGGACTACAGCATGGCCATCCCCCCGGGGAGTGATTTCTCACTTTCTGTCTGTCTTTCTGGTGAGCACATGCACCCTATAGCAAAAACTTCTCAAAAAAAAAAAAAAAAAAAGTTTTAAATCATATGAATTGAAATGTGGAGGCTAACAGCCAATCCAGTGGTATTTTGCTTTTCTAAATTAAAAAAAAAAAAAAAAACAAAACACCTGATGATATTTGCCTTCTGAATCCTCACAAAATATCAAAAATAACCAAAATATTAAAGGATATGCAACTCTAATAATTGTGTGAATTCTCTGCTATGTGGCACAATAGCTTTTTTTTTTTTCCTTCTTTTTTTTTGGAGAGTTTTTTTTAAAAAGCAAATTTCCTTTCAATGTGCAATTCAGGGATTATGAGTGATCTCTACCTTTGAAATTGTTTCTGGCCTATCAAAGTTTATAACGAAATGTCTAAAATTTTATCTTTTATATAAGTATTTTTCATTTTTAAAATATTGCTAAACAATTTTGTAAAGCATGTTCACATACATACTAATTTACCTAATTCTCATATGCTTTAAAAATTCACATAAATTTGTATGAAGATATAAACCACATCTGTAATTGTCACCAAAATCTGTCCTATTAATCTCATAAATGTTTTAATAATTGCCAGAGAAAGTGAGCCCTTACCAGAGACAAATGGAGAGCGATAAAGACAATGCATATGTCCAATGTAAGTGGGTACGGTCACAACACAATCCCTTCTCCTCCCCACTTCTCCATCCTACTGGGATTTGGGGCGCACACACACACACGCATCTGGCATGTTTTTCAAACCTCCGGGGCTAGAATTCAGACTGTGGTCACCCATGTAGCATCCAGCTCCCTTAACCTCTAGGCTACAAGGTTAGCTCTCTTAAATTTTTTTGGTCTGACTTTATGTACTTATTGATTTTCAGAGAGATTTTTATTATAGAGTGCATGCACTCACCAGAGAGCCAGTAAGCAAGGAATCACCCCCTGGGGGGATAGCCACACCACAATCCCTTCTCCTCCATTCTCCTCTCAGGCTTTTAGGCACATGCACCTGGCATGAGTTTTAAGCCACCAGGTCTGTGACTCAAACTACGGTCAACTACTTGGGAGTCCAACGATATAACCATTATGCCATCTACTGGCCCTGGTCTGACTTTTTAACAAATGGGTACAAGGAGACAATGTCTATTGGATCCTTTTTTCTTTTATTTATTTATTTTTTTTGGGGGGAAAGGTTTTTGTTATAGGTCACATGCATTTGCTGAAAAGACAGAGACAGAAAGTGAGAAATCACCCCCCAGGGGGAATGGCCACACCACAATTTCTTCTCCTCCATTCTCCTCTCGGGATCTTGGGCACGCACGCACGCCCAGCCTGAGTTTAAGCCACCGGGTCCAGGACTCAAACTGCGGTCAGCTATGTGGGAGTTCAGTGACATAGCCCTTATGCTAACTGCTGGTCCCTTTCTTTATTTTAAAGACAGGATCTCACTCTTACAATTCTCCTGCCTCAGCTTCCCTAACAGCTAGGATGACAGGTATATGCCACCACATCTAGTTCTTTCAAACTGGATTTCACTAGCTGGCATTACAAGACTGTACCCAGCTTTTAGAAATGGGTTGAAAAATCAAACTCAGGTATTCCATATGGCCTCAGCTTGCAGAGCAGTGGTATCTAACCAGCATGCACCACTGAGGCTGGGCTGGTTAGAGCTTTTGAAGGATGTCAAATTTGCAGAGTTTCATCATGATGGAGGTCCTCTCATATCAGATTTTGGTTTTAGGCTTATGAGACTGCCTTTTCAAAAACACTAAAATCAGTAACACAGTACGAGAAGAAAACAGGATTGCAAGGAAGAAGAAAAGGAACTCTTACTTTTTAGTTCAAACCTCCTGTTCTGTTTGACATGTTTATGAACAGGTATCACTCAACTTTAAAAACAAATATATGTAGAATATTATACTACTTTTAAAATACCAATGAAAATCAGACAATTTGACTAACCTTATTAGTGGCATAAGGTGATCATTAAACTGCTTGTCAAAAAGATGAAAAATAGTATTGGCCTGTTGCACAACATCCAAAAAATAGAGATTTGCATTCTTAGAATCTGAAGAAGGAATTCCTAAAATTGGAAAGAATATACATATATAAGTGTGTGTGTGTGTGTGTGTGTGTATGTAAGAATCACTCTTGAAGAAATTCATCTTGAAAAAGTGATTTTATATATATAATATAAATAAAAGTAACTGCTATTTTTAATAAATCAGTAATGATTTTTATGATCAGAAGAAGAAAATTAAGCATATTAATATCTTAATAGTTATTTTTTGGTCCAGATTTTCATCGAAGTTATTTTTTTGTACAGATTTTCACCATCTATTTAGCCTTAATAATTTGTTTAGATAAACCAAACAATAAATCAATAAACTACCCTGGGCCCAATCTTCTCCTTCCCTTTCCTAATGATTCATGCATGCCAAGAATACACTCCCTATTGTTCTTGTAACCAGGCCTCTTTATCTCTGATAACAAGGAAAATACACTTATAGGTCTTTTTGGTTCAAGTTTTTTTTTTTTACCATACACACTGCTGTTTTTGGTCACCTCATGCCTCAACACATTTCACTCACCATGTTCTTCACTATTTCCTCAAAAATATTCAAACCTCACTATTTATAGGATCAACTCCTGATTTCTAGTAATCGAGCTGCTCCAAATTCTGACACCAAAAAGCCAACTGTATTTCAGTTTCTTTCTTTTTATAAATAATGACAAATGAACATCAAGGCCCCTTTTACTTGTAGATGTGCATGTTTCTAGCCAAAATTAAAAGATATGAGACTATGAAAAATATTCATAGATAATGGGAAAGTATAAGTGTAATAACTAGAGGGTTTTTTAAAGAATTAATTTTATTTATTATTAGTATTATTTTTTAATTTGACTAGAAAGACACAAAGTGAGAAAACAAGCTGTCAGATCCGAGATGTAAATTGCAGTCAGCCATGTGGGAGTCCAGAGCTTTAATCACCACACCACCCACTGGCCCCAAGACCCAGAGTTTTTTTGTTTGTTTGTTTGTTTTTTTAATTAATTAATTATTATTTTTTTTTTTTTTGGAGAGGTTTTTTGCTATAGGGCACGTGCGCTCGCCAGCCAGACAGAGAGAGACATAGAGACAAAAAGCGAGAAATCACCCTCCAGGGGGGATGGTCACGTCGCAATCCCTTCTCCTCCATTCTCCTCTCGGGATCTTGGGCACGCACGCACATGCACCCGGCCTGAGTTTTAAGCCACCTGGTCCGGGACTCGACCCGCAGTCGACTACGTGGGAGTCCAGCGCATAGCCATTACGCTAACAGCGAGTCCCCAAGACCTAGAGTTTTTTTTTTTTTTACAGCATCTTTATAGATGACTTTGGACTTGTCCAAAGTTTTAACAATGAAAAACAAAGATATTTTTTTCCTTACAAAATATAAAATCACCAATTAATATAAAAGTTAAAGCTCCAAAAAAATTTGTAAGAGGAAAACAGAAAATGAGTACACAGGTAGAACATACTAATCCTTGCTATTAAAAAAATGAAGGCAACACACACACTACTTTTTAGATTTGTGCCATAGGCACATGCACTCATTGGAGAGAGAAAGATACAAAAAGTGAGAAATCAAACCCTCAGGGAAGATAGCCATGCCTCAATCCCCTTTCCTCCAATTTCCACTCAGGAATTTTGGGCGGACACACACACACACACACACACACACACACACACACACACACATGTGCCAGGGGTGTTTTTCAAGTCACTACGTTTGGAACTTGAACTGTGGAGTCAGTCATGTGGGATCTGGATTTTTTTTGGGGGAGAGGTTTTCGCTATAGGGCGCGTGCGCTCGCGAGACAGACAGAGATAGAGACAAAGCGAGAAATCACCCCCCAGGGGGGATGGTCACGCCGCAATCCCTACTCCTCCATTCTCTTCTTGGGATCTTGGGCACGCACGCACACGCGCCTGGCGTGAGTTTTAAGCCACCGGGTCTGGGACGCGAACCATGGTCGACTACGTGGGAGTCCAGCGAAATAGCCATAACAGCTGGTTCCCGGATCTGGCTTCTTAACCACCACGCCATCTATTGGTCCTGATAAATGTTTTTAACCACTAAATTATTTTTAAAAATTTTTTAAAAATAATTATTTATTCCATTTTATTTGTTATTTTTATTTTTTAATTTGACCAGGGAGAAAGAGAAAGTGAGAAAGCAAGTTGCCAGATCCAGGACTCAAACCATGGTTGGCCATATGGGAGTCAGCTGCCCAACCACCACACCATCTTCCAGTCCCACAAGTTATTAAAATTTTTAAGGAATATTTAATGATGCACACAAAAAGTGGCATATGAATATAGGCCAGTAGCAATATATATTGGTGGTGTTTTCTCTCTAAGAGTAAGAGAAAGCCATGAAAGGGTTTTAGTTAAGGAAATCTTAATTAAACTGATTGTTTAATGAAATATTAATAATTTGGAAAGAAAAGAATGGACACAAGGAGATCACTTAAAAGTAAACAGAGCCAGCTGGTAGTATAATGGTTAGATCCCACATAGCTGACTGCACTGTTCAAGTCCCAGACCTGGCAACTTAATAGACAAACCAGGCGTGTGTTTGTACATACCCAAAAATTCTGAGAAAAGAATGAAAGAGAAGGAATTACAGCATGACTATCCCCCGAGGGGTGCTTTCTCACTTTCCACTTCACTCTGTCTCTCTCTGGTAAATGCATGCAGCCTCTAACATATTAAAAATTATAATAATAAAATAAATAGAAATGACAGTGAGGGCGGCATCAACAGAGATGGAGAAAAGTAGATGAATCTGATTTATTTTGGAAGTATATTAATAAGGCTATCAGGGTTCATGAAAAGGAAGAATTAGGGCAACTCTTGGCTTAAAATTTGAACTAGTAAATGATAATAACTTTCCCCCCATTTTTGCTATAGTGTGTGTGTGCTCACAGGAGAAAGACAGAGGCAGAGAAAGGAAAGGCACAGTGAGAAATCACCCCCTCCCCCCCAGAGGAGACGGCTACACTGCAATCCCTTTCCCATTTCCCTGTTGGGATTTTTGGGCACATACACCCCCAGCGTGATTTTCAACCTTCTGAATCTGGACTCGAATTACAGAGTTGGCCATGTGGGATCCAGCTGCCTTAACCTCTACACCACCTACTGACCTAGTAATGCCTTTTAATGATAAAGGAAAGAACATGGAAGGAACAGGTTGAGGGGAAAACAGATGTTCATTCTGAATGCTCAATTTGAGATGGCCACTGAAAATGTGGAGAGGCCAAGTAGGCAACTGGATTATTATACTATTTATATTTAGTGGTAAGCCTAAAGACCAAACACAAAACAAAACAAATCCAAAATAAATCCATTCCTTTCCAGACTTCTTTTTAATATTTCCCTTCTATACCACCAACCAGAATTGTTCTCATCTTTGTTTTCGCTCTTTTATATTTTATAACTTAGACCACTGAAAAAGATCCTGCTATAGTGACTTATGTAGCTTATTACCCCACGCTGTTGTATATAAAACAACAAGAGGAGAGAACTATGTCTTCTTTATTGTATAACATTCAATATCTGGCAAATCCCTGCACTGTAGAAGCTCAAAATTCACTGCACTAAAGTGAATTGAACATAGAGATGATTGTATATGAAACAGTATGATACATATATTGTAGCTTAACCAAGCAGGATGATTAAGGGAATGTAATATAAAATGTAACACAAATATACTTACCAGCAAGTCCTGTTTCCAAAGCATAATCAATATGCTCAATACATAAAAATTCCACAAGAATGGTAAAAATTCTAAAGGCATTCCTTGGTAAATCAGAAGGGTCAGAGAGCTTTAAAAACAAAACAAAAATAGTATCACTCTTCGGTTTACTTTTAAGAAAGCTGATTTTTTAAAGCAATCGATTTTCTGTAATATGGAGTCAGTGTTTCATATATCACAATAACTCACATCCCTTCAACACACACACACACATACACACACACAGACAAAATTACAGGGTTCCATATTTGTCTACAACTTTCTGACTTAGAGCAATGTACTTCAAACTTGGATTGCAATTCACTAGAGGAATCCAGGTATGCTTTTATGAAATATATGCACATATACCCACCCCATTTACATATAACATGGTGTATTGGGCTACTATGTGAAATGCATTTCTTACTGCAAGTCAGGAGACCTATTGCCCATGCAAAGTCTAGTTTAGTAAAATTCAGAACAAAAAGGATTTTTTTTCTTTTTTATTGAGGAGTGAAGATGGAGAAATCAAAAATAAACATAAAGAAGGACCAGCAGGTGGCATAGTGGTTGAGGCACTGGACTTACAAATGGCAGATCGCAGTTTGAGTCCTGGTTCTGGTGGCTTGAAAATCATACCAGGTGTGTGTGTGTGTGTTTGTGTGTGTGTGTGTGCATGTACGTGCCCCGAATCCCAGGAGAATGGAGGAGAAAGGACTGTGGTGTGGCCATCTACCCTGGAGAATTATTTCTCACTTCTCTCTCTCACTCACTCTCTTTCTCCAGCAAGCACATGCACTCTATGGCAAACACCTTAAATAAATAAATAACAACAAAGAAATGTAAGGTGAATATTTGAAAGGCAACCAATAGGAGGCCAGCAAGTGGCATGGCGATTAAGATGCTGTACTCTCACAAGACTGGCGTGGTTCAAGTCCTAGACCCAATGGCTTGAAAATCATGCCAGTCATGTGTACATGAATGCCCAAAATCCTAGGAGGAGAATGAAGGAGAAGAGACTGCAGCATGGCCATTCCCTGCTGGGGGATGATTTCTCACTTTCCCTCTCACTGTCTATCTCTAGTGAGAGCAAGCGCCCTATGGCAAAAATCTTATTAAAAAAAAAAAACCCACAAAAAACAACAACAACAAAACCAGTATTAATTCACTATATTAACAAAATAAACAAAAAGCATTTGACAAAACCTAACATCTAATCCTTATAAAAAACATTCAGCAAACTAGGGGAGAAAAAGGGTTTCTATCAATCTAAAAAAGAACATCTATGAAAAACCTAGTTAGCATCATATTTAATGGTAGAAGACTAAACGTTTTATTCTGAAGATCAGAAATAATGCAAGGTGCTTGTTCTATTCAACATTATATTGACAGTCTGTCCAGTATAATCAGGTAGAACAAAATAAAATCTGTATTTAAAAGGAATGAGTAAAAGGGTCTCGATGAGCAGACATGATAATGTATACAGAAAATCCAGTGGAATTAATTTTTAAAAAGCTAATAGAACTAGTAAGTTTAGTTAGGTTGCAGGATTTAGAATAAGCATATAAAAATCAATTGTGGGGACCAGCAGTTAGCGTAATGGCTATGTCACTGAACTCCAATGTAGCCAACCATAGTTCGAGTCCCGGACCCAGTGGCTTAAACTAACGCTGGGTCCATGTGCATGCGTGCCCAAGATCCCGAGGGGAGAAGGGAGGAGAAGATACTGTGGTGTGGCCATCCCCCCTGGGGGGGTGATTTCTCGCTTTCTATCTCTCTGTCTCTCTTTGTCTTTCTGGCGAGCACACGTGCCCTATAGCAAAAAACCTCTCCCCAAACAAAAAAAATCAGCTGTGTTTCCATATACTAATAATTAAGCTAAACTATAAAATTGATATACTTTTTAAAAATACCATGTATATTGCTTTATAACATGAAAAATATGTTAATTCTCCCCAAACAGAACTATAGATTCAATGCAATTCCAATCAAAATTTCAGACTTTCCCCCAAAACTGATGAGCTATTATAAGATATATAAACATACAAAATGTCTTCTATGAAAAGGAAATGTTGGAGAACTTATACTACCTGATTCAAGACTTATATTATAAAACCACAGCAATGAAGACAGCATAGTACTGGCATAAAGACAAACATATCAATGGACGAGAACAGAGTCCAGAAATAGATCCATATGTAAATGGAAAAAATTTAATTTTTTAAAGATTTATTTATTATTATTTTAAAATTTGCTATAGGGAACATGAGCTCACCAGAGAGAGACAGAGATAGAGAGAGCGAGAGAGAGAAAGTGAGAAAGCAAGCTGCCAGGTTCATGACTCAAACTGCAGTCAGCCATGTTTGAGTCCAACACCTTAATCACCACGCCATCTGCTGGCTCATCAACTGATTTTTAACAAAGGTTCAAAAGCAATGCAGTGGAGAAAGAATACTATTTCAATCAATAATGATGAAACAATTGGATATCTAATTGTAAAAAAAAATAAATTTTTATCCATATACTGTATGTTACACAATAGTTAACCCAAAACCGATTAAAGTCCTAAATGTAAAACTTCAACTATGAAACCATTAGAAGAAAACACAGAAATCTTTATGACTTTGGCTATGCCAAAATTTCTATAAAAGACATTGAAATCTTCACTATAATAAGAAAGTGTTAAATTGGATTTCATGAAAATTAGTAACTTCTATCCTATGAAATAAATGTTAAGAGAATAAAAAGACAAGCCATAGACTGGAAAAAAAATTTGTAAATCATATAGCTGATAAACAAATTGTAACCAGAATGCACAACTCTGAACAATAAGAAAACAGGGACCAGCAGTTAGTGTAATGGCTATGTCGCTGAACTCCCATGTAGTCGACTGCGGTTCGAGTCCCGAACCCGGTGGCTTAAACTCACGCCGGGCGCATATGTGTGCGTGCCCAAGATCCGGAGAGGAGAATGGAGGGGAGGGGATTGCAGCGTGGCCATCCCCCCAGGGGGGGTGAGATCTCGCTTTCTATCTCTCTGTCTCTCTCTGTCTTTCTGGTGAGCGTATACACTCTATAGGAAAAAAATATATATACCTCTCAAAAAAAAAAAAAAAAAAAAGAAAAGAAAAAAAACAGACAACCCAATTGAAAACTGAAGCCAGCAAGTAGCATGGTTGTTAAGGTGCTGGACTCCCCTGGGACTGAGGACTTGAAAATCATTCCAGGCACACACGTGTGCACACGAAATCTCAAGAGAAGAATGGAGGAAGAGAGAATGAGGCCTTGGGGGTGATTTCTCATTTTCCCTCTATGTCTCTCTCCAGTGAGCACATGTGCACTACAGCAAAAACCTAAAAAAAAAAAAAAAGCGCAAATGATCTAAACAAATACTTCACCAGAGTATACAAGGGAGTCTTCAAAAAGTTCATGGAAAATGCACATTATGCATAAAAGACTTTTAAGTTTTTTTTTTTGCACCAGATAAAAGCTGTATTTTAATTATAGTTTTCTAGACTTTCTGAAAGCCCCTCATATAAATAAACACAGAACATATGTCCAACAGCAATCATCATTTCATTGGGAAAATAAAAAACACATAGTGAAATATTACTACATGCTCTATTAGTTTGGTAGTCTCTTTTTTTAAAAAAGAATTTTTTTTGTTTACTTTTATTTACTCATTCATTTTTTTTAATTTAACCAGAGAGAGACGTGGGGGGGGGGGCAGTGAGAAAGTGAGCCACCAGGTCCAGGATTCAAATCGTGATGGGGCCATGTGCCTTAATCACCACACCCCCTGCTGGCCCCTGGTAGTTCCTTATTAAAAAAAAAATAACTGTTTGAACCAGTGATATCGCTTCCAGCTATTTTTGAGATTTATTCATGTTGGTGTATGTAACTCTAGGTTGTGCATTTAAATTGTTGTACAGTGGGGCCAGTAGGTGGCATGGTGGTTAGGTCGCTGGACTCTCACATGATGAACCGAGGTTCAAGTCCTGAACCTGGTGGGTTTCTTTCTCACTTCACCCCCTCTCTCAGGTCAAATTAAAAAAATGATAATAGGGAACAGCAGATGGTTTAATGGTTACATTGCTGAATTACCATGAAGTCCACTGCAATTTGAGTCCTAGACCGGGTGGCTTAAAACTCATGCCAGTCCATGTGCATGCATGCCCAAAAATTCCAAGAGAAAATAGAGAAGGGATTATGGTGTGGCCAACCCTCCAGAGTATGATTTTGTGCTTTTTGTCTCTTTCTCTGTCACTCTAGTGAGCACATGTGTCCTGTAGCAAAAGTCTCTATTAAAAAGACAAAATTAAAAAGATGATAAAAAATAAATAAATAGATTAAAATGAAAAACTTATACAAGTTTTGGGACCAGTAGATGGCATAATGGCTACATCACAGTACTCCGCAGTTCGAGTACCAGACCCAGTGGCTTAAACTCATGCAGGGCACACGTGCATGTGTGCCCCCAAGATTCTGAGAGGAGAATGGAAGAAAAGGGATTGCGGTGTGGCCTTCCCCTCTCGGGGGGTAATTTCTTGCTTTCTGTCTCTCTGTCTGTCTCTGGCTTTCTGGCGAATGCACGCGCCCCCATAGTAAAAATTTCTCAAAAAAAACCCAAACCCAAAACCTTATACAAGTTTTTAAATGTATGAGAAATGCCAGTTTATCAGTTCTCTTTCTGATGGACAATGTGCTTGCTTCTAATTTTTCACCAAAACAAATAATACTGCTATGTCCAATATCATGCAGACATATGATCTTCTCCAAGGAACTGCTGAATTAATAGTCAAAATAACTTTACCAATTTGCACTCCCACTGGCAGTGTATGAGAAATTCTATTGCTCCACTCCCTTATCAATACTTGGTATGGTGAGATGTCTTGATTTACACTAATCAGGTGAAAATAAAATGTTGCTTCTCCTATTTGAAATTTCATCTCCTCCTTAGTGAATCTGAAAATTGGTAATTACATTTTCTTTATTTTTGTAAATAGCTTGACTGTTCTGTTTTCATTTATATTTATAATTTATACTGATTTACTTTCCCTTAATATAAACATATAGATTTTATGCATCAATATAAACAAAAAATTAAGTCTGACTCGACTCTCAATTCCACTACTTAAGAGCTATGTACCTGTTTATCTGCAAAAAAAAATCATAGGATTGTCATGAAGATTAACTGATTGTCATGAAGAACAAATACATACTTTCATATGTATACGTGTGTGTGTATGTGTGTATATAGATACATACACATATATATATGAAGTGCTTAAAATAGTGCCTGAGACATAGCATGTACAGTAAAACTACTGGGTGCCATAATTTGATTCATAACATCTTTTATTACTATTGTTGGTTACCAATACCTTCTCACAGACTACACCTAATCTATTCACTTTTTTCAGAGTGTATCTGTTGTAGAGACAGTCTAAATTGTAACAGAGTCAAATTTTCATTTTTTCCCTTTGATGTTTGTGTCTTAAAACACCATTTTTTCACTGACACTCCATTTCTTTATGAGAAAGGGCTAACCCTTTAACATTGTAATTTAATATCTTACAGAACAAACATCTGTTCTGCTCAACTTAAATTTAAAATTATATAAAGTTTATCCCTAAATTTAATGATTTTATCTAAAACAAAAATCCTGTTACTTTTATTACCAAAAAAATTTGTTCTTCCTAACCAGAGCATAGACTCATATCTTAGCATAACAAGGTAAAACTTAAAATACACAACTATACATAAATAAAATAAATTTACAATCACTCTTACCCGATGACATCTTTCAAAGGCTTGTTTGGTTTCTTGTAAAAGATTAACCACCACTTCTTGGGATAGGAAAGTTTCCCCATGAGTATCAATACTTGGCCCCAGTGGTAAGTTGGTACGCTGTCTAATTCTCTCTTTCAAATCTTGAATCCTAGTACATGATTTAGACAAATGAAAAAATGTGTATTTTACTATACACAGATTTAAACTTTTAAGTATTGTCATACTAGTATATATCAACAGCAAAAATGAACCAATAGCTGAGACCTAAGTTCCAATCAGTTGTCAGAAAAGTCATGACACATTTCTGCATAGAAAAACACATCATGAATTTCCTGATTTTTCTGAGAGAGATTTTGCTATAGGGCAAATGCACTTGCTAAAGAGACACAGACAGAAAGCAAGAAATATGTCCCCAGGAGGCATGGCCATGCTGTAATCCTTTTGCCTCCATTTTCCTCTCGGGATTTTGGGCATGCATGCATAAGTGCCCAGCATGAGGTTTTAAGTGGTCAAGTCTGGGACTCGAACCACAGTCAACCATGTGGGAGTCCAGTGATGCAACCATTACGTCATCTGCTGGTCACCATCATGACTTTTCTAACAACCCAATAATTCCAATAACTTTTATAAAATGAACAAGGGTGCGTGCGCTCGCCAGACAGACAGACATAGAGACAGAAAGCGAGAAATCACCCCCCGGGGGGATGGTCACGCCGCAATCCCTTCTCCTCCATTCTCCTCTCAGGATCTTGGGCACACATGAACATGAGCCCAGCGTGAGTTCTAGGCCACGGGGTCCGGGACATGAACCACGGTCAACTACGTGGGAATCCAGCGACATAGCCATTACGCTAACTGCTGGTTCCCAACAATCTTGATTTCTGAATAGAAGATTTTCATATGAAAAACAAGTAGATTTGGAGTTATGATCTCAAAAATCCCTTCCAACTTTATAATTCTGACTCAATAACCAAAAATTTATTTGATGTCCTCAGGAAGTGAGCTATTCTAAGTTAATACTCTAGGTAACTAGTTCTGTTTAAAAATAAAACTTCAGGGGTTAAATGGTAGCATGGTGGTACAATGCCACTCTCTATAAAGCAATGCCACGTGGGAAGGTTCCAGGTTGAAGTCCAGAGACCTCCTTGAGTATGGTGAGTACAAGCACGCCTAAGACATGGGTGGGGCTGGTTGAAAGCGGGGAGTGAACTGGCATTGGAACCCTGTTGAGGATGCTGTGTCTCTTTCTATTTCTCTCTCTTATTCAAGGGAGAAACATGTAAACTTAAAAAAATAAATAAAACTAAAATCTTAACAAATTTAAATATACCTAATCATTTAAATATATTACACATTTCTTCACTATATTAAATAAGATTTCTAGCTTTCCTTAATGACTGCGGTTAGATTGTTTTGCTCCTAGAATATTTGGCTCCAAATTACAATCAAATCCTTTTTTTAAAATTCTGATGAGTAAAACCAGCAGATGGCATAATGGTTACGTCTCTGGACTCCCATGTAAGTTCACTACAGTTCGAATCCCAGACTTGGTGGCTTAAAACTTACACTGGACGTGTGTGTGTGCCCAAAATCCTGAGAGGAGAATGGAGGAGAAGGGACTGAGACATGGCCATCCCCCCGAAGGGTGATTTCTTGCTTTCTGTCTCTGTCTCTTTCTGTCTTTCCGGCAAGGACACACGTCCTATAGCAAAAATATCTCTAGTAATAATTGAAAAATTCTGATGATTGTTCCTTAGTTTTTCTCTTCCTTTTTTAGCTACTGTCATTAGAAAAGATGCTACCTTTTACTAATTATAACCTCTCTGATCATTATTTAATAAAAAATAAACTAGGAATAAAGAAACTGATTTGGATGTATGTGTGTGTAGACTCTGGACTCAGATATATGGCTCCACAGAAGTCACTGTTTTCTCTTGTGTTTTTATTTTTAATTGTCAAAGGGTGCATGAGCTTACCAGACAGAGATGGAGAGAAGGAAAGACAGAGAGAAAGAGGGAGAGGAGGAGAAAGCAGCCCCCAAGGGGGTATGGTCAGCTCTAGTCCCATTTCCTCCATTTCTCCATTCTGCCAGGATTTGGGGCATATATTCAAACACATCCAGAATGCTTTCCAAGTCATCAGGGCTGGGATTCAAACTGTGGTCAGCCGTGTGGGATCTGGTATTCCTTAACCACTTGGCCACAGGACTGGCCTTTTCTCTTTCTGGAATCAACTGTGTTTCTTATAATTATGGTCTGGATAACTGAGATATAATCAATTATTACAGTAAGCTATTTGTATCTAGAATGGGAATAATCACAGGTTTTAAGATATTAATTTAATAATTTTATCCCCAAGTTGTTGAAAAAACTCTTCAACGTAATTGTGGGTTTTTTTCACACTTGCAACAATAACAAAAGAAGGATGTGCTTCCTAGTCAATAGCCTGAAATAATTTACTCTGTCTGGGAATAAAATTTTTTAAAAAATTATAGAACACTTTATATTACTGGCACTGTTCTTTACATTTTTTCATTAATTTTTTAATTGACAAATATCTGCTTTATGTTTTAATTATGTTATATCAGATCTTTTCAACATGTTAACTCAAGAGGAGGATTTGATCAATAGTAAAAATAGAGTTAATAAGAGTTCTTCACAAAAAATTTTAGATAGTCAATATTTGATAAATTTGTCCAAACATAATAAAGTTCTTAATGTTTTAGTTATAATGGTCAACAAAATACTCACCCTCCTGTGCCAATGGATCTCTTTTGATGGTTTTTTGAATCATAATAGCGCTGTAGGATCATAGCACTTCTGCTTTTCAAATATCCAGTCTCCACCTCAATATAATTCTCCAAATAGGAAATGAAAATGGATTTGATAAGCTTAGACAAGAAAGTCTGTTTATCAGTACCTAAGTTAAATTCCATCAACTTGCTGGAAAGATTGGTGGTTCTTTTCATGGAAAAGGGGGAGAAAAAGATTAATGTATATTTTAGGTATAGTAACAACACTAAGGAATATATATTTTCACAATGTGACTTTAATGACTTATGTTAAATCACCATTTTTAAAAATATTTGATAGAGGATGCATTCACTTTCAGCAAAGTGACAGAGAGAAAGCAGGGAAGTGAGAAATTACATCCCGTTAGGGATGCCTTGCCACAATCCCTTATCCTTAACACTCTTCTTAGAATTTTGGGCATGTATGAACAAGTCCTGGAGCATTTCCCAAGCAAGTGGGTTTAGGACTTGAACTGTGCATTCAGTGATATGGGATCCAGATGCCTCAACCAGCCTACTGCATGCCACCAGCTGGCCCATCACCATTTCTTAAATCTTAGTTAAGTACTTAAGATGCAGACAACAGCTCTACAGGGTTATATGGAAGTAGGATAAAATACTACAAACAATATTAGGATTTGAAAATTGTTGTAAATTCTTAGAGATGACCTAGGAGAAATATCTGAGAAAATAAACCCATTTAGAAATGACAATAATGGCAGAATGGCCCCAAGTGTGCCCTAATATTATTTGTCCCATGGTATCCCAGAGTACTAAAAGGTCTACTCTCTGTTCACCCTCTTTTGTCTTTGTCCATGTGGTCTTTCCTCTAATTTTCTATTTCCCATTGTTGAAGACAGAGTCAAAATAGTGATATTGCTGACACAGACCTCTTTGTGGTAACTTCTGAAAAACCTTCTTCCAAAATGAAAACACTGAAGAATGTCAACAGGGTTGGAAAAAATCAAGGAGGAAAAACTCATCAAGTTTCTGAGAAATTCCCACAAATTTAAGCCTGAAATTGGCATCTGTAATGAGCATGTGACTTCCTTTTGCAATTTTTAAAGTTTTAAGTGCAGATAAATATACCAATCAATTTCTCAAGTTGATGTACTAAGAATGCTGCTCTTCTACAATACTACTTTATAGCCAAACATTTAATGCTAAAGGGTATACCGTTATTTGACAAGCTGTTTTTCAAAACTACCAGAGTATTTATATTCTTCATTTTCTATAAGAAATTTAAAAAGTCTGAGATCTATTATTTTTGAATAATTAAAAATATACCTTGTATAAAGATCATAGAGATTTTTGAGATACTGTTCTGCATCGGACTTCCTACATTCTTCTAACTGGTCTTTGACAAAACTCTGGAACAAAGAGTCAACATTTGTTAATAAGTAAATGTTAATTATATACCTTCTCAAGATATTCCCCCCCCTCTAAAAATATCCCACAGTTTTAACTATTCTAATTTAGAAATCCAATAAAAAAAGGCAATACACAGAAAATAGAAAATTCACCCAAAAATTAAAAACCAAGTTTCTGAACTTTATTGCTTCTTGTATTGACCTGAACAAGACCTAAATTGGTCTTGGAATTAAGTACTAAGAATTCAGAAATACCTTTTCTTTTAAAACTGGCCCATTATGTCCCATATGGTACACTGACTGACAAACAACAAAAACAAAAAAACCCTGAGACTAGGTCAATAGAGTCGACTCCTTAGAGCAGCATTTCCCAAACTGTGGCCTAGGAAACACTAGAGTCCCTCAAGACATTAATAGGTGTTAAGTCTAAAATAGACTTCCTTGGTAGGCAAATGTGGGAAATGCTGTACATAACCACCCCATTTGCAGTGAATCACATTATGTATAAGTAGCCATAAAGGCTACTGAAAGTCCTAAATTATGTTTAAAAAACAAACATTTACAGATTAAGAAATAGTGTCTGAAAGTATAGTGCTATGGGAGTCAAGGTTATAAATTAATTCTCGTGTTTTTCCTTTTCAGGTTAGTACCATATAAAAGAAAATTACAAACTACTTTTGTAGATCTTGTTCAAGTTCATAGATGTTATCTACTAGTCAAGGCAAAAGCAAAAGAAGTGAGGTTACCTTACCATGATACATTACTACTACTGCTACTGCTGCTGCTACTACACTAACGTCAAACATGTACTGTAATGACACCTAGTGATTAGTACCTTTTTCTTGGTGAATAATAAGTTGTCTTTTTTTTAAAGCGTAACACTGACTTTACTTTTCCATTAACTAAACAGATTATTATTCCTAAAGTCATAATACAACTAAATTTAAAAAAAAGGAAAACTTTAAATACAGGAAAAAACTCACATATTACTTTAAGAACTACTTAATGTATCACTGTTTAAAATTACCTGTAGTTTGATTTCAAATACATTTTGAATAAGTTTAGCCAGTACTGTTTCTGGATTACTAAATATATCTCCAACTTGTTTGTTCACACGTTGACAGAGTATTGCCGCATCTTCAAATACATCATTTCTCAAGTAAGCACCCTAGATAGCAGATGTATTTTTATATAGTGAGTATATAATGTTTAAGGTTCTAAAATAAAAATTAGCATAAAGTAAAATCCAATAAAGTACACTTCTTTGTTACCTCCTGGCACTGCTTTATATAAACATCAACACAATGGGAATAACCCTACAAAGAAGAAACACACATGTTATCTCTGTTCTGGTTCAATTGTAATAATACCCTCAATTTAATAAGTATTATGTTTAATAAAAATATGTTTAATAGGGACTAACAGTTAGTGTAATGGCTATGTCGCTGGACTCCCATGTAGTCGATCGCAGTTCAAGTCCTGGACCTGGCGGCTTAAACTCACTCTGGGCGTGTGCACGTGCGTACCCAAGATCCCAAGAGGAGAACAGAGGAGAAGGGATTGCAGTGTGGCCATTCCCCCTGGGGGGTGATTTCTCGCTTTCTATCTCTCTGTCTCTCTGTCTTCCTGGCGAGTGCATGCGCCCTATAGAGAAAAAACCTCTCAAAAAAAAAAATATATATATATATGTTTAATAAAACTACGTGTCAGTGAATAGCCAATAACAGTTAACTGCAAGAGTTAAATAAAATTAATTGAAGAGAACCAATAACTTAATACAGGTGTCTTCTCCCAGTCACTTTCTGTAATGAAATTTATCAGTTGGTTTATATCTTGGCTGGACATTAGACTGAAACAAGAAAGCTGAGGTATAGGTGAAGTCTTTCTAGTAATTTTTGACCTACGATTATCTAGCTATCTCCTTCAACTCCAAAATACGCACACATACACACACACACACACACACACACACACACACACTCTTCGCAAAACAAAGGTCTTTAAAAAGGTTTTACATATACACATTTCCTTCTTTTTTGGGGGGAGAGGTTTTTGCTACAGGGCGTGTGTGCTCGCCAAAAAGAGACAGACAGAAAACAAGAAATCAACCCCTGAGGGGACGGCCATGCCGCAATCTCTTCTCCTTCATTCTTCTCTCAGTATCTTGGGAACACAAGCACACGTGCCCAGCATGAATTTAAGCCACCAGGTCCAGGGCTCAAACTGCGGTCAACTACATGGGAGTCCAGCGACATAGCCATTATGCCAACTGCTGGTCCCCATATTTCCTTCTTTCCTCTCTTGGATTCAAAGTACTGGCCTTCTCTTGCAAGAATCTGGACAGGACTATGTTCATTTTTTTTTAAGTTTCTTTCTTTTTTTCCATGGTTACAGAGAGAGAGAGAGAAAGAAAGAGATAAGTATCCTTACCAGGGTCATCATGCTCTGATCCACCCTCAATCAGCCCCAGATCATGGGTACTGATTGGGTACACACAACCAGCACATTCAGGAAGGTCCCCAGATGTGAACCCAAAACTTTCCCACGTGAGTCAGTCCCACAGAGTACCACGTTACTGCTGAAC